TGTTACATCTTAACCTCCAAAACATTCACATAGAAATAAATCAAATACACATCTAGCAAGGAATTTTTCAAGGAGATTCGTTAAGTCCTCTGGTTCTGCCTTGTGCTTAACTCTTTATCTAACACATTGAACAAAACATAATATGGCTACAATATAACACTGTTAACACAACATGACACAACAAAATAACACTGTTTACATTATCACACCTCATGTACATGGCTAATATCAAACTTTATGCATCCACACAGAATCAACTTTATCATCTCTTACAAACTACACATACAGTATATACTGAAACAATATAGACACAGAGTTTGTTCTAGACCAGGGATGGCGAACCTATGGCATGTGTGTCCAAGGTGGCATGTAAAGAGAAATCATCTGGCATATAATGTATCATATTTTGATTTATCATCTGTCTTTTTCAATCATCCTTTTGGTTTATCACCTGATAATCCTTTTTTTTTCTATCAGCTTTTTTACATTTATTCTAATTAAAGCATATTCATTTAATTTATTTAAATATTGTTATTCAAAGTCTAAAACTTTGGCACTCATAAACATCTTTAAAGTGAAGTATGCTTACTATATGGCATGTGGACTCAAAAAGGTTTTCCACCTCTGGTCTAGACAAATACAAAACACTACAATTGAAAAAGGAGACTTTATACTCACTTCTGAGTACAAAGTATGGAAGTAAGTATGAGAATATGGAAGAAGTGAGTACAAAGGAGACTTTGTACTCATTTCTTCCATAGAATAACTTCAATAATATCTCCACATCCATCTGGAGAAATTGAGTATATGGAAGAGAGAGAATTTTATAAGTAATTAGGATTCCAATGGGCCAAACTTACAGAACATCCACAGATAAAACAATGGTTACACTTGAATACCAGAACAGATTACATACAGTACTAAGAACACACCTAAATGCAAAACATACTATTAAATCTATTAATACCTGTTGTTCCTGTACTCACTTATTATTTTGAAATTATACACTGGACACACACAGATCTCGAGCAACTCCAAAGGAAAACAAGAACAACACTAAGTATAAACAATATCACCCAAAATCATCCGTAGAAAGACTAACTCTTCCTTGTAAAGAAAGTAGCCGTGGCCTTACTAATATAGTTAACTTACACTACAAACAAATTCAGACATTGCAGGAGTTTTTCTACAAAAAACATCAAGTTTACATAAAGCTAGCACTCTGGCAGACAGTAACCACATATCTTTAAACTTACCGTCTAAACACCTGGACATGGAGCACCCAAAAGGCACTTCATGGCAGGCATGTCTAAGACCTAGCTCTGGTCTGTGTTGACAAAATTGTGTTAAATTACTGGCTGGCTAAGGCTGTCTGTTTTGAGAGACTGAGAGGTTTATGGTTGCCATTCAAGTTTGAATCATAAACACTAAAACTACAGAATACACATTCTGAAGAATATATCACTCACAAATGATTCTTGCAGAAAATTGTTACAGTATGTTGTATTGTTTCTGCCAGAAATAGCAATACAACATATTGTATATATAACTAATATAATAGCTTCTGGTTGCAAGCTCTTAGTACAAACAGACTATGCAGGCATAATCAAGTAGCGGATAAAATACATGAAGAGCTTGCACAGAATATTAAATATCCATACTACAAATATACTCTACAAGCAGTATCAGAAAATGACACACAAAATATACTACAACAGAGCCATAATTACAGATAAAACAATTCATCACTATAGACTTGACATTATTCTCATTGACAAATACAGTAAGATTACTTATACAATAGAAATCTGTTCCAAACACTTATAACATAAAAAGGCTCACACTGAAAAAAATCAACAAGTACACTCCACTCACTCAAGAAATAAGACAGATGTGGCAGATGGATAAGGTGTTTATTGTACCTGTTGTCTTCTCTTCTGCTGGTGATATACCACATACACTACACAAAAGTCTAGAAACATTAAACCTTAATAAAAACATATGATATGGCAGTACAGAAAGCCGCAATATTGAACACATGTCACATTGTGAGGAGGTTTCTAGATGTTGACTACATACATCAATAACAGCTTAACATTACACATGTTTGGGTAGCTATGCCTTGACTTGGTACCAGTAGCAGCTGAGCATGACATTTGCAACATAATAATAAATATTAATAACAATCATGTAGAAATATTTCTTAAAATTTAAAGATAAAACATTTTTCATAAATAATTTATATCTGTTCTCAGTCAATTGCAATCGTTTATGTATTTGATTAATTTCTGGTTATAAATGTTTTCATATGATAATTACCTCTTCAGAACAAAGACAGTCGTAGTGCTGCTTTTATTTTAAAAATTTTGTTATATAACTAGTTAAATACATTATTTAATTGTTAATTATTTTTAAGGTAAGTTTCATATTTAAATTATCAATCTAAAACTTTGCTTTAGAATAGTTATTTTATAACAAAGTTTTACAATAATAATTCAAATGCATGAATTTAAGATAGGACAGGTTAATTAGGATCTGGATTGATATTAAAATTCTATTGTTATAACATATTAGCTACTATATAAAGTTATTTACTTGTGAGAAATAATTTTAATATTATATTATGATTAATTTAAAATATTTAAAAATCAAGTAGAATTTTTTAATTTTCAAATATTCAATGATAATTATAAGTTTCAGATAATTGATTTATTCCAAAACTGTTTTTAATAAACTTAGGCAAGATTTTGAAGTTGTCCTTAACATTTTGTTTCAACCTACTTTTAATTTTTTTAATCCTAAAATAGAGATTCTCAAAATTTATGTTAATAATCAACTGCTTTTTGGTAAATTTAAGCATGTAGGCATCGGAATATTTAAAATCTAAAATATTTTTTTTTAAAAACCAGTATTTTAAATGAATTGTTCAAAATAGAACAGATTTTGATAGCAGTTGTTTACAAAATGTGTTATTAAGCTATTGCCATAACATTCAGTGTTAAATTAGAATGTATATGCAGTTGTATGTGTACATACATATATTTATATATGCAGAATGTATATTTATCCAAACACAATGACCAACCACCTGGTGCAATAAGGTGCTAATCAACAAAAGATTTTCTGGTTATCAAAGTATGTGTATAATACAGGTCTTTTACATTGTAAAAATTTTTCAGAATCACTTAAATGCAACCAGAACTTCACAATGAGAACAGTTTCAGCATTTAATCCCAATATTTGGAATTATACATTTTTTTTTTTTAAACTTACAAATGTTCATATTCCAAAAGTAACTATATGTGGCTTAGTGTCTTATTGCTCCAAGCCCTTTATATATATATATATGTTACAGTCAAAACCCGTTTTTAGTTAGAACGCATTTTAACTAGTTGAAACTAGTTTATACTGAATGTCTTTGTTAAAACCCATTTTGTCTAGTTAAAACTAGTTTTAACTCAAATTCATTTTTGACTAGCAGTAAATTCTAGTTTTAACTAGACAAAACGGGTTTTAACAAAGACATCCAGTATAAACTAGTTTTAACTAGTTAAAACGCATCCTAACTAAAAACTGGTTTGACTGCAACGCATAGAGTGATTCGGGGTAAGATGGTAAGCGGGGGAAGATGCCTAATTTTTGATATTTTCAAACGGTGACGTCACATATTGTCATGTATTTGTATGATGAATCGTTGGGCCAATATTGAGTGCGGAAAGCTGTAGTTGGCTACCGTTACTTCATTTTCTACATCCGAGAAGAATAAAAGCTAGATAAGAACGAAGTTTTTGTTGTGAAATGTTTCTAGAATAATTTTAAACTAAAAGTTAAAATGGAATTTATTAAAAATTGCTAAAAACAATTAATGTGTGATGTAGTTAAGGTTCTAAAGTTTCCATTGTCAGCTACCGCCGATCCCGATCGGACATGCTGGAGCACGTGACTCTACTAGGCATCTTACCCCAACAAATGGAAAATATGCCACATTTTTCTTGGGGTAACGTGCCTATTTTTTGTTAATTGATTTCCAATATGCCTATTTTTAATAAACTTTTGTTTTCTCGTTTTATTGCAGGATATGCATAGAAATTATATAAGGACTTCTCAAAAAAGTTTTTGGACTGAAAAAAGCTTTCAGCTAGCTATAGAACACGTTAGAACGGGCGGAAACTTAACAATACTTATACTGTGCTGTTATACTTACTATGAAGTACTTTGTACTACATATGCAATAAATTAAATTTGGTTAAGAAATTCAAAAATTAATTTTAAGCAATTATATTTGTTATCTTACCCTAATGGCATTTGGCATCTCACCCAGATACTTGGGGTGAGATGCTTAAAATGCCAGACAGTGAAAAAGTCGTCATTGCAAACACAGTATAGAATTTTTTAAAATAAACTCCAAACTTTTATTTGAAAGACATACTCCAGAATATGATATTTTCATTAGAGGGCTCCTAAACTCAAATTAGCGCTGTAATTTTCTTCATAAGCAAAATGTTAGGCATCTTCCGCCGAATCACTATACATAACTTTATTTCCCCCAAACATATTTATGTAGCTAAAATTAGTTTTAACTAATGTTAAAAGTTAAAACTAGTTTTATCTAAAGTCAAAACATGTACAGCAGTAAATTAACTAGACAAAACCCGTTTTGTCTAGTTAAAACTAGAATTTACTGCTAGTCAAAAATGAATTTGAGTTAAAACTAGTTTTAACTAGACAAAACGGGTTTTAACAAAGACATTTAGTATAAACTAGTTTCAACTAGTTAAAACGCGTTCTAACTAAAAACGGGTTTTGACTGTAACATATACATACACATTTTATTAGATACTTGTTATTTTCATAATTAAAGCATTAACTTATTCTTGAACATTAAATGAGAATTCATTTTGTTTTTGAAATTGAAGTAAATTTATAATTATTGTTCAGAATATTTTCTAAATTGATATTACAGCTATAAATGTTATAACTTTTGTTTATTTTTTTTAAAGGAAAGAACGAAGAATGCACAGTTTATAATTATCTCATTAAGAAACAACATGTTTGAATTAGCTGATCGTTTGGTTGGAATATATAAGACATACAATTGTACAAAGTCAGTGACTATAAATCCTGATATTATTGCATCATCATCATCCTTAGCAAAATTAACTGATGATATAAATTCTTCAAATCAAACCATCAACCATTTACAATAAAATAATTCTTTGATTCAAAAACATACAAACTTGTATATAAACTAAATCATCAAAAGAAATGCAATTTTTATGTATTTTTAAACACTAAAAAATTTTTGTAAAAGTATTTTATCTATTTGACAAAATATAACTTTTTAATACAAATATTTATTTTTTCTGCTGTGTGAGGATTGAATATTATTCTGTATTTTTAATTGCACATTAATAATAATTGTTTTTTTTAATGTTGAATTATAACTAAATTTTCAGTTTTTTGTATAAATAAATGAATTTATTAATAATTCTGAGCAATACTGTGTCAGAGGGACAATTCAAGTTTAAATGAACAATTTACAATCAGATTTGCAAAAATATTCTTATTTATACACTAGAAATAGAAAAAGTTTACAAATATTTGAAAGAGCAAAACTAAAAAGCTAAATTTGAGAAGAAAATGGATATTCCTAAAAAGAAGTATATTTCTTTCTAGGAGAGCTTGCTATAAGAGGCCCTCCTAGTGCCCACAAGGCGAAAAGAGTATTTTCAAGAAATCGAACCAATAGGCAATAACAAATTCGAATTTAAAACGGTTCGAACATTTGGTTTAAAATAGAGCGTCGTTTATCCGAATCAATTGAGGACGGGTTCTTCGGATAACCGATTACACACGAAAAAATATATAACATGTTAACCCATCCCATGTTGAAATTTCTCTCCGTTACGTGTCGCTTCGCGTTGAATTTTCGTCGATGTTAAGCCTAACGAAAATTTTTTAATAATAATCGTGCCTATTGTATCGTTAAAAATTATTTCTTTATTTTGTACAAACAAAATAAATACAGTGGTGCCTCGTACAACGTACTTAATCCGTTCCAGGTGCACGTTTAAGTGAAACGTCCGTTATACGAAACGCTGAATAAATGTCCGTTATACGAAACGCTGAATACATGTATTTCTATGGGAAAATGCATTTTCCCATAGAAATACATGTTAAAACATATAATTCGTTCCGCAGCATAAAATAACCGTACTGTACCATAAAAAATGAAAATGGAGCAGACACCAATTATGCCGGGTAGTCAGATGTGAGGAGGAGGTGGAAGAACACTTTCTTTACACATTCATA